CACATAAACACATCTCTATGGATGGTCAGTTATTTAAACCAATAACATCACACTCTATCGGCCACCTGAGTATTCCAGTCTGTCGCTCAAAATCGTTTTTTCGTTTAGGTTAAAAATAGGTTACCAAAACCATAACTTCTAACCTAACCTATAAAAAATTTTGTAACCTAAACCTAAAAACCTATAAAAAGTCGTAACCTAAACCTAACCTAACCTATAGGTTGGGTTAGGTTTAACCTGCAGGGCTCTGATTCGCGTTGCTGATGACATAAACATCGAATCTGGGAAAATTTTTTCCAAGTTATTGGAACAGTAGGAGCACTCATTATATCCCGTTTGGGATATAGATATTGACTCAAAAAGTTTCGCTGTCATTCACTTCACTTGAGTGTACCGTTGAGTAAGGATAGTTTCTGTGTTATGCTAGTAGCTTATGAGGTAAATAGATTTGCTAATATTTCTTATAATGAGTGAGGCAAACTGTTACAGGCCTGGGCCTTGCACATAACGCGTAATCATGATCTAAGCGTATATTATTGCATCATCTCGTCACATGTTTAGCAGCGTGACGTCTAGGTCCTACGTGTGTTATTGAAGAATTATTTTCTTCCTCCGTCCAGTCGCTTGTTTTCTACATTTATTCGTTTTCTCCCGCGTTCATATATATCTATGGTTCTTTTCCTTTGTTCTCTGTTTTATCCATAGATATATAAATAGTGTATGTTTCTTATTTTTAGTAGCACTTCTAGACGCCATCGCGTATCGTACACATCGTCACTTGTTATTCGTTTTGTGTTTGTGTTTTCATCTCTTTTTTTAAGTTTTTTGAATAAAAGGGGATTCAGCTTTTCAGCAACAATCTACTTTTAAATATTATTCAATTTCTTTAGGGCAATCAGACCTATGCATAAAATATTTGGGAAAATTCTCGGCGCTTGAAGTCCTTTCGTAGTTGTGATTTTAGAAAATAAACAACATTAAGCGTCTCTGCTAAAGTAGACTTTTGAACCAGTCCACAATCCCACAAAGCCTGTCAATATTATTCTTGTAATCTCTGGCCTATCGACCATCAAAGTGTGAATGTGAATAGCATTGGATATTTGTGAGAATTCCTCGTTACTAGGAACGCTCAAAACGCTCACCCTCACAGACCGATTTAAATAATTTTGAAATTAAAAACTATACTCACAAACACATGGGTTCGGATCGACAGTAACGTTACTGGTTGTGACGGTACTGGCTGTCACGGTACTGGCTGTCACGGTACTGGCTGTCACGGTAATGGCTGTCACGGTAATGGCTGTCACGGTAATGGCTGTCACGGTAATGGCTGTCACGGTAATGGCTGTCACGGTAATGGCTGTCACGGTACTGGCTGTCACGGTACTGGCTGTGACGGTACTGGTTGTGACGTTGCTGGCTGTGAGGTTACTTGTAGTGGCTGCTGTTGTATCACTTTTTCTTGAAAATATAACACCAATTGGAACTCCAACACTTATACAGAGCAGTAAAACTAGTAAGGATGATAAAAAAATCCAATAAAGTTTCTTTGTTGTTGCCGTAACAGTAACACCA